CCCCCCCCCCCCCCCCTTCTTTTTTTGTGTTGACAATAAGACAAAGAACAATCGCAGATACTACGACTGAGAAAAATAATGATGAGACAAGAATAAAATACAAGATCAGGTTGGGCAACACTTCGGCAAAGTGCAACATGTCCTGACAAAATGTTGATTGCCAACCTGCAAATAGTGGGTGATTAGCAGCTAGGTTCAAAATTCACACACCTATGGTGATTTATGAATTTCCAGAGAGATTCATATTTTTAATTATGACTTAATTGGCATGGTCCTTTAAAATTGTATGAAGGTAAAGAAAGTTTACTTCCCCCAATGGTTGGAAAAGAAACAGTTTTGAATCGAACAGTTGTGAATCCAAGGCTTTGTAAAGAGCGCTGCATGTGCAGTCTGGTGAATTTTTTCTCCCCAAATGAGTTTGTATCGTTTTTTTTCCCTCTCTCTCTTTCTACCATCCCTTGAACCCCTGACCTTGGTCTAGAATTTTAGATCAACAGCACCAAGGCACAAGGAGGGCCTGTGTATTTGTATTGTCCAATTGTTGATCGTACTCTGAAAAGTGCGATATTACAAGGTCTAAACAGCTGAGGACAGGAAAAATGAAAGAATTATTGCACAAAGGGGGCAAATAGTAGGAAAAATATAGAAACTGGATTACATATATAGATAGCGTATGCTATTCCTATATCAATTGTTGGACATTTCTTTGTGTACAACATATAAAATGACTAAATCCCCTTTGAGAACAAAAAAAATTTCCATGTTCGTTTGGAGTCCATGCTTTGGTAAAATAGCAAACAACACCAGATTAAATTCTGCGAAAATATATCTTGGCTACAAGAGGAAAAGGATAAAAGGGTCATTACCCAGTTTGTTTCCCATGGGTGCTGAGAGGGATTGCCTGGGTACAAACCTAACTTTTGACATCATTTGCACAGACTGGTTGCCCTCTGATTGAACGCAACCAGAGACTTAAAAAAAAAGGGGGGCAAATATTGATTTTCTCCATATATCAAGTAATTGAACCAACATATCACTCGAGGTTACATTTCCTGACAATGTAAGGCTCCAAAAGGCACACTTCAACATATTGGAAAAACAATAGAGCATGCAGAAAGCAACAGAAATGACTTGTAAACATTCTTTTCACAACACCAAGAGGGTATTTAATGGTACCTGTCCTTTGAGAAAACACTAGCCCCGGCATCCAAAAGCAACTTTGCCATTAGATAGAATCCTTGGGAGGCAGCTACATGAAGTGGAGTTCGGTGGTCATAATCTTTGGAGTTTGGATCAATGCCATTGGACAAAACCCTTCTGAGTAAATCTGAATCCCCCCTTGCAACGACTGTGCACAAGAAACCACCAGCATCATCAATCTTCAACACGGCTCCTTGTTTGACAAGCAAGGAAGCAACTTCATCGTGTCCACTCTTGATGGCTTCGAGTAAGGGTGTGTTTCCGAAATTATCTGTGAAACACAAAAAACTAGCCACATGAATTCATTTAAGATGGTAGTTGCAGAATAAAGCTAAAGAGCCTCAAGGAAAAAAGTAATCATGTAGGATGGATACCTGAAGTGTTGATGTCTACCTCTTCCCGAATGAGGAAAAGGGTGATATCTTCATATCCTTTTGATGCAGCAAGATGCTGTTGAAAACAGAAGCTCCCTTCAGGTCAATTGGTTATTTTGTTCTTTTAAACATGTCATATATTTTCCTAGTGAAGTAAGAGAACAGAAATGATTTCATCAAAGAGAAGGCAACCGCATTTTTCTTGCTATTTATGTAAGTTGGCAACAGAGTTTTATAGTTCATGAAAGATCCAAAAAAGGGAAAAAGAAAAAGAAAGACCCCAAAAGAAATACTCAGAGTACAAAGAAGAAAAGTATGTTTCTGAATGCTTTTGTGATTTTGGAATACTATAAGCGAGCAGACTTGGTGGTGGAAGGTTAATCAACTCCTAGAGTTGTCAATCCATGAAGACAAACTTACACCGTAATATGAAAAGAACGAGTATTTGTGTATCCTAGTTTGTCTCCTCTTGCTCTTTCAACAAGAGTGGAAACAGCCACAAACATGTGGATGAAAATTATGCTGCGAGCCAGATTTAATTTGACTCACAATTGTTCACTTCCCAGAAGTGCTTATGAATTTTTTCCTTGATTAGGCACTTTGGACTCCTGGAAAAAGAGAACAATAGGCAAACTTTCAGAGGGTTTGGTTGAGTGACATCCTAATAACCCTCATTGTTTATCTGATAAGGTCCTTTTAATAGGTATGTGATCTATTTAATGTGAGGGCATAATCATCAGTGCATTGACTTATAATTTGAACAACGTAATTTTGTTAAATGCTCCACCTGCGAAAGCACTGCCACGCTCAACCAACCCATACAGAAAAGTATGCATGATACCTCCACCTCATTACTATGGTTTATGAGTGGCATAGATGGCAGGTGCTAAACATCAGGTGCCCAGTTCCCATCTCGGTTATATACCGAAGAGATATGCAGACAAAGAAAGTACCTCTGGCGAGGCACAAAGCAAGATACCTTTTGAGAACGGCAGGCACTAGATATGTTACTTCTTTTTTAAAATTGGACAGTCCGTTGTTCTACTGGTTCCTAATCTCCGAAATGTACTGATACATGTTATCACAAGCATCTAAGAACATTACGGAAGACACTGCAATGCTCTCTATTCCAGATCAAACTGAAGAAGGAAAGGCACGGATATAAGTAAATCAGGTGAGTCTGGAGTAGGGATCCTTTTTTTCATCTAAATGCTAATGCTGAATCCAGATAGAAATGGATATCATACCCACACATCCGCAACTTTACTGAATTAAAGAAAGGCTCATTGTGATTCTTCTTGATAATGGACCAGGTAGAATAAATGGTTAATCCATAAAATAAACTTACAAACCTTCGTTAAATGATGACTACAAATTCAAATTGGGCCACAAACAAGATATGCATGCACAGGTTTAGCTATCTTGAAAATAAGAAACAGATATTGGTTTATGTTCTTAGGAAAAAGAAGTCTAAACAAATTCAGGCTTTATCGACAACATAGCAATGCTCCTTCTGATGCAAATTAATCATCCCGTAGACAAAATTGGAAAAAGTAAAACTAAAACTACAAAGCTGAAATACTCATTAGCTAAATCATACCAGTGGTGATCTTCCATCATAATCTTTCTTGTTTGGATCCACTCCACCTCGGATCAAACTTTTTAGCTGATAAAGATCACCATTATAAGCTGCACTATTCACCCTCAGAGCAAGTTCAGCCTCTTGTTTTCCAATATGAAATGTGACATCAGATTCAAGATGCTTTATTCGGAGATTGGATTCCTTTCCCTGCCAGCTTAAGTTAGATAAGTTTTCTGACAACACATACGCAAAGAAAACACTAAAAACTATTAAAGACTTGTGCTCATTTTAGTAATATATTTCAAAGCATGTCTACATTCGGCTGTCAGTGAAAACAATATGTGGGTGTTGGAGTATAGATAGTTTAGGTTTATTAGGATTTCTCTTTCCTAGGTTTATTAGGATTTCTTTTCCCTTTAGGATTTCTTTTCCCTTTTTTACCCTTACTATGATTTTTATATTTTGCCTATATATACGGGGTTTTACTCTTAATTTGAGTATCTCCTTTTACTCACAATTATTTCAAGTTGGTATCAGACCAAGGTTAGGGTTTGGGGTAGGGTTAGTGTATGGCTCTACCAGCCATACCGCCGAAACCACCCTGGCCATCAACTGC